AATTAACAATAAATTTTTTTTTTTTTTTTTTTTTCCCCCTTTCCCCTGTGATTTTTTTTTTTTTTTTTTTTTTTTTTTTTTTTTTTTTTTTTTTTTTTACTTTCCTTAAAGTCATAAGCTTAAGGCAATGGCTGCAAACAGATGCACAATTACACATCCGTAAATCTTTGAAAAGCAGAAGTGGAGCCTCCTGCGCAAGCAACAAAAATGTAGCAAGTGGTTTTTGGGTAATAAGCAACAACAAAACATTTGTCTTGACAGCGGTAAACCCAGATGACCAAATGTCCAGCAGTTAAGCTTGTGTTGCAAGGTAACGACTCTGGGCTTGGTTGGGGTTGCTAGGTAACAGTGCAGTGCAAAACACCACAAAAACCTCTTTAATAATTAGGAGGTTGATTTAAAAACTTCTCATTTTTCAGCCACCCAAAAACATTAACTAGGTGCCGGAAAATGTCTGAATAGTTTTTTTTTAAGAACTTGGATTGTTTTTTTTTTTTTTAGAAGAAATGGAGACCCAAATGGAAGAATAAAAAAAACATACAAAAAGGGAATTTTGTACAATACGTCCCCTTTAAAATACATCCAGAGATTTGCCTCCATTAACTGAAATGTTTTGATTTGATCTTGCAGAGGCATGAAACTGTAATCTATGAATTTGAAGAAAGTAATAAAAATATATTTGGCAATTCTGACTGAAGTAAAAGAAAAAAGGATGTCTAATATATTGCCAGACAGTGTAAACTGTATCTGATAGTTGAGGGAGACATATATCTAAGAGATTTTACAGGATAAACTTAAATTAATTGGATATCTCACTCATAATTAATATATTCCCTAAAATGGAAAATCTGTGCTTGAGGTCATCACTTACAAGGAAGCAGCGTCATAGCTATTGAGTGGTGCAGAAGTGGCCTGTTGAATAGCTCAGTGTCAGCCTGTGTTAGCAGATAAAACCCTTCACTTGTACTAACCAGAGCTGCCAGGAAGCCTGCGGAAAAAAAAAAAAAATTGTGTTGGTTTTAATTAGACACGATTGATGACCGAGGGACACAGCAGCGAAGGCAGTGGGGCGACAGTCATTTCAGGCCTGACAGGTAAAACACACTCATTTGTCACGCAGCCCTTCTATGCAGAGGAGACAGATGAATAAGGTTCTATGTGGTTTAGCAGAGGCACAGTTCCAATTTGAGAACAGAGAGGGGGATGGTGTGACCGTATCAGCAGACCGTATCAGCAGACCACATCAGTGACAGTAAAAGACACCTAACTGACTACCACGGAACCTAAAAATGGCTCCAGAGTACCGTGAGAATGACCAAACCAAATAAAGGTGACGTGTTCAGCGGCTGCACAAGAGTTTCCTGGAAGAACTGAGGGAGGAACTGCATGCAAACTTGTAGCTGCAAGCAAATCCAGATAAGAAACCAAAAGCTCCTCTGAACTCACAGAAGAGGGGTTCAGAAAATAATCGGTGTTTTTAAAGCTGCTGTGTGTAACTTATATTAAAAATTTTTTTTAAACTTATTTGTTAAAACTATCACTGACAGTGTAAGACATAATTTGCAAAAAATCGACATCCTTTGAAATAAATTGCTGTGACAGAGTACCGTCTTAGCGTTATTAATCACTCTTGTGTACGCTCTGCTCATATCCTCCCTTTCTCTCTGCTACACTAAACTAGTTCACAACCACAAAGCCTGCCATGAATGCTAAGGCTAGTTAGCATGGCTAGATAAATAGTTTTCATCGAATGGTAAGTTGTTTCTCCACCATTAGTACATTTAGCAACACGTACACAGGTATGATTGACAGCGCTTAGAGCTTCTTCCATGCTCTGATTGGTTGTTTTTGACCAGAAGTGATGCAATCCTTCAGGTGACAATAGTAGCTCTGGGAGGAGATTGATCTTTTCACAGATTATCTGCTTCACATTATACAGATAATCTGCATTATACTGTCACACAACATGATGATAGTTTTAACAAATACATAAACAAACATATTTTTGTAAAAGTTACATACTGCAGCTTTAAATTCTGGAAAATCACAGTCCACACCATTCCCAAATGTTGCCGCAAGGAAATAAAATTTAAAACACCTTTAAATCAAGTCATTTAAAGTAAGCAGTGTAATTGTTTTACAGGATAGAATTTTGTCTTCACAAAGTTCCTTCTTACATGAACATTTCTATAAACACATCTTTCAACTGTACATAATGTTCTAAGAACAAATGACCACAAAGTGATAGAGTTGCAACAGGTTAACCAAGCATGTCAACCAACATGTCAGGCAAAAGTCATGAGAACTGAACTCTTTCTGACGCCAGTTAAGAGAAAGGAGAGAGGATAGGTTTGTGGTCTGAGAATTAGGTTACTGCAGAGCCGAGAGGTGCTGAGCAGAGAGCTGCAAAGTCTTATCTTCAGTTTGAACGGCACTGATGGAGCGGTCAGCCCGAGGAAGTGGCAGATTTTAATACGCGGCAGAGGAAATGTGTGCAGCTCTGCTTCCTTCCTCTATGTGTTCACACAGGCTGTTGCAAGCTGGAGAAGTTTTACAGTGCAACAGCTGCTTGGTTTTTATCTTATCTCTTTGTTTCGTCTGAAAAATTCCCTTTTTTGTTGACGTGAGAGTGCGTAAAATCATTTTTTGCATCAGCACAGATTCTGATTGAATAGTAAAAAAAAATAAAAACACAAATAGTAAGTTTGGTATAGAATGTATTTCTTTATATCTACGTTTCTGACAGTACTGGATCACATCATGGACACTTTGAGGAACTCGATGTAAAATCAATACATTGGAAATTATAGTGTGGTGTTTTCAAATTTATATCCACACGTACACACATTTGTACAAACACTCATGCATGGATTGATAAAGGAACTTTTCCAAAACATACAACATCCTGTACATCACTGAAAGAGATGAAGAGCAGAAATAACAACATAGAAATGAAAGAGAATCAGGAGGTAGAGTGATGGTGGTTTGATCCAAATTACTGCAGTCTGCATGGAGAAGATAGGGGAAAAGCTACACACACATGCACACATACCTTACTGCCAAAAATGTAGAAACAAGAAATCACTTCATTAAAACTGGTCTGGCAGCATGAAGTAGGCTAAAAGCTCTAAAAAAGCAACACATAATGCCCTGAAAGAAAGAAATTCAAGAACAGATAGGGAACAAAATCACTGATATCTACACTCAAATTCATTCTGACGAGGCTTGTTTGCCAGATTAAAGTAACATTTAAGCAGATATTGAACATCACATTTTATTTTCCTCAGAAAATGTTTTTTTTTTTATTGGTCTGAAGTGATATTTTAATCTTAAATGTTGTGTTTTTGTTCGCTGTATGCAGAAAATCATCATAATTCACAGAAATAGAGGCTTGTGAACATTATTTTCAGTGTAATTAATCAGTACATTGTGTTTCACTCCAGGAATTCATTTTCTGAAATATATTAGCTAAACACATTTATAACTGCAATTTAGCAAGTTATTGAACATAAAATATGATTAAACTATTCAGTATTCATTGTAGTATTTCAGATGGGGAATTTACTGACCATCTTGTGGCTCAAACTGGAGATTGCAAACACATAGATATAATTAAAACGATCTTAAAGCCATAAATTACTTTTTCTCTTTGTGTGGAAAATGAAAGAGGACGATAAAAGCATAAAAGCTAATTATAAATAGTTTTTTTTTAGTTATTTAATTATAAAAAATACAAAAGCTAATTGATTGCTAGAAACTGTTTTTAATTTAAAAGTTGTAACACCAATAAACCCTCTTCCATTTTCTTTCACACACTCATCGGTATAAAATAAAAGCACAACAATTTTGCTTCTGTGGAAGAATCTTCTGCCTGTGGAAGGGCAAATAATCCATGATCAACATACACAAACTAAAAATAGAATAAATCTTTTCAAAAATTGATCAAATGCCAAAACTAGTACTGGTGCAAAACCATAAAAATAAAAAGAATATACATTAAAATTAGGCAGGAACAAAACTTGGATGGATAGACCTCTTAAAGTATGGCATTTCTTTGATTTTATCCAATACAGTAATGTATTCCTGATATTTCACAGGCAACAAATATTCCAGACAAAAAAACAACAACAACAGCAACAAAAAAAATGCTTATATTTTTCCAAAAAAGTCTGAGGAAGGTCAAAGATTTTTATTTTTTAAATTGAGATTCACTGCATAGATTCGTGCCTAAATTACAGGAAGACTGGTCTTAAAAATGATTATGTGACTAATGAAATGAACGGCCCTTCAAGTTAGAAATATTTTGGTTTGAAATAAGAACCTTTTATTAATGAAACAGCTACAAAACCCACTATTTGTGGTGCATCCAAAAAACAAACAAACAAAAAAAGGTAGCTGCATGCCCACCAGTCTGGTTGTGTTTGGTTGGTTTAGCCATAGTCTCTGAGTTTAAATCGTGTGTAGAAATGTTTTGAGCTGTATCGTTTCTTCCACCGATATCCTGCCGTGGTAGAAGCTGAGTCCCGTTAGCAGCTCGATGTCTCGGACTCGTGCGATGTGAAACCTCAGCCACTCCTTCACCCACGACAAGTCAGACTCCGCCTGAAGAGAGGCGGAAAGAGAAATTACGACCACAAACATAGTGTAATATTTTATATATAACGCTGTGTTATATGTAATGCTCTCCTTGTCTGCCTCAGAGGGCAGCCATGTCCTACCAAGTTTGCTTTTGTGCTAATTTGTGAGATGTTTGGATATTGTTTTCTAACCTAACCCTCGTTTAACCCTTTTATGACATAAGTCTGCCTGGATATTTTTGCTTATTTTCATTGTAAGCAGTTCTTTAAATGTCTTGTGAGTAAATACATTTGCCCATTTATCCATAACAACTGGAACTTTCAATATCTAGCAAGTTATTTTTACAATTTATCATCTATTAATAGAGCGCCCCTCAGATTAATTTTGACTCCCTGCTATGGCGGGGGATGAAATTACCATAATAACCAGATATTGGCTGGAAAGCACAACGTCTCCCCTTTCAGAAACTGTTGGAATTTTTCAGATAGCGCAACGTGTGGTGGAGTTACGGTACCGCAAATTTGGCTGCCATTTGGTCCGAAAGGGTTACATTTTTCCACGACTTTATTTTCCGACCTGTCTGCTTCTTTCTAGGTTTTCAAGATGCTACTTGTTCACTAATCCTGTTCTGGATTAGTAGTTATGTCAAGTCACGGCAAGTTTACTTGTATAGCACATTTCAGCAAAAAGGCTCAAACCCCATCATTACAATCCTCAAGCAAATTAAATATATCAATCAATGTTTCAGTTATTACAAATCAAAGGCAACTCTAAACAGGTAAGGGTTTTTTAAGCATCTGTTCAGTGCTTGGGTCACCTGGTGACATCATAATGTAGGTCTGTGTATTATTAGAGAACAGAAGTCCTGTAACAGACATAACTGCTCTCATTACTGCACAGCGAGGTTAAATAGAGTCAACATAAGTTGACTCTATTTAAAAAAAGGTGATGTATAATTACACTGAATTGTAGCACCCTGCAGTTATTCTGCTTTGTGTTCGCGCGGTTTCTCTACATTTGCTCGGCGCTGTAGTTGTATGGAGCTTTTATCTGAGGTGTAGTTGGTTGTTACTCACAGCACAGAACTCTGAGTAGTCAGGTTTGTGGGGCATGATGAATGCTATGGCCTGAAGCGGACCCTCACAGTTAACAGGACTGAAGCTTGAGTTGCGACAGCTGGTCATGATCAAGAAGAAATGCGTTGGCACTGCAGTTTCATTCCTGGAGAGAGAGAGAGAGAAAGGTTTGTGGGGTTTTAACAAAAAACTGCTGGAACAAAAAGTGTTTCCTGTGAAGAAGAAGATTTTCTTTAACTCTTCTGATTTCCACCTTTGCGATGACACAAATCTGTCCCCCCCCACTCACTATTTGTCAAAAATAGTCCTGGATTTCCACACCAGGGGCACTACCACAAGATAACTGCCAGGGGATGTGAGGAAACGCTGTCAGTATTTCCTGGTTAAATCATAAATTAAACAGAAAAAAACCTCGCAGGAAACGGGGGAAAGATTAGAAGAACATAATCAGTATTGATGTATTGCGTTCTTCTCCAAAGCTCAGCGCGTGTGGTTTGACACCACACTGTCAACTGGTTTTGATTTACATGTTGCACAATCTTTGTTTAGCAACATTGTAATTGCCCTGGGTATTTTATAAAACATGCACAACCACATCTTTGATTTATGTGAAAATGCTTCCTCGCTCAGAAATGGAGGAATTACATTTAAATAGCTCACAAGTGTTGGCTAAGTGTGAAACCTTTGGTCTGATCTTAACCAATAAATGTGTCGAACGTCTTCTTGCTTGATTTTGAGGTGAGTTGCTTAGCTTTCATTTTCTCCTGAAGTGTTTTCCTCTAAGGAATTTACACGATTGGAAAGAAAATCGGAGCAGAGTCAAAGCAATGCTCAATCCAGTGAAACATTTCAGATTTTTTAAATTTGGGAATGATTTTTTTATTATTACTGTTACTGTTACATGCAACAGAGACATTTTTTCACATTTCAGACATATCTCGTCGCCTGTCATGCTATATACATGGTTTGATGAATGTTCTGCTAAAGTTCATCTCGTTTTTTTGTTGCTGGTCATTTAGTTTAGTTTTAGTTTTTTGCCGACTTCTATCCCACTTTATCAGTCTCTCTTTCTCATTGTTGAAGCAAAAACACTGACCTTAGCTGAGGACAGTGAGGATTTTTGTTCAATTATTTGTTTTGTAATTGCAAAGAGAATGCTTTACAACCATTTTCAGACTGACAGATATCAACTTTGCTGCTCGTCTTTTCTTGACTGTCTTTAAGTTTTCGAAACTTTTTAACTTTCTTCATGTTGTCAGACAGAGATGGTATGAAAATGACTAGTAGTAACAAAACTGATCGAGTCCGAGTCAGGGACCCATTCACGATGAAGATGAAAGAAAGAAACGCACAAAAAAATAAATAAATAAATAAATAAAGTTGATGAATATCCAAACTAATACACTACTTGATTGAACAGCCCTGTTTTTAAAGTGATAATGACATCTCTTTATGAATATTAAGTTAAATTTGTGCATCTAGTCATTTTTTAACAAATAGAAAATGGGAACAATTTAAAAAAAAAACATCGACTTTTTCAGAAACATTTATTAAACAGAATATCACACAACAACAACAACAACAATCACTAAAGCTGTGGTATAGTTGTAGACAACTTACCCTGTGTTTTTACTGACTGGATCTACATTTCCATCAAAGTCTTTATCAAATATCGGCCCACTGACGACATTGACTCCGTTCAGGTCTTGAGAATATTTCAAAAGTATAGAAGTGTGGAAATGGCTCCAAACCTCTGGAAAACATAAATATGCAGTTTAATACATGTAATCCTGCAATTTGTACAAACAAACAACATTAAAATTTGAGTTATCAGCGTAACTGTGTATCAGGAACAGTGAGCCACTAGGGGGCAGCACCTGTTAGTATTTTATAGGGATTCAGAAACTAAAATTTTCTTTCATTTATTGTTTATTTCCTGGCAAAACTCAGAGGGATTTAATTTATCAGAACTTAGCTAACAACAGCAGTAACCAGATTGTATATATCCAATTTATAAGGTGCATGTTCCAGTTAAAACAAAATGAATTAATGATGTTGATTCATAATATTATGTTACTATAACAAAACTTTGTTTTGCTGCTGGCACTGAGTCAAAAATCCAGATATTTCCTCAGTTTGGGACTTGATGAATAGATTTACAGCTACGTTTTGTTCAAGCTTGCACAAAGCAGGTTTTCTACGTGCCGGTGGTCTGACAGCCATGAACACGAAGTTGCATCACAGATTTCTGTGCTTTGTTCAGCCAGTTTAACTACCTGTCCCTGGAGATCACAATTTTTAGTTTTGAAATGACTGCATTAATAATGTAATAACTCTAATCGCAAATTGGAAACACACACGTTTGACAAATACTTCCATAAATACTCACCTTTAAATGCAGGGAACATTGGGGCCATGTTACTGCTGATAAAAGAGTCAGACACTGAACCAGTGATATTCAGATCTGTAAAAATAATGACAGGTGAAGCAACAGGTATGGGACTTTTGATTTTATAGTCAAGGATTTCGAAACTGAAGCAAAAGATGTCACTTTATGATGACTTGCAAAATCTAAAAATGCTTATAATGTGAAATGCTTCACCTATTTTCCTGCAAAAAATCAGTGTCAAATCTCACTTTGTAACATGATGACAGGAATGAAAACATTTAATTTGTGGTCATCCAGGTGTCTCACTTCTGCTGATGTGCGTTAATTTCCCTGTTTCCCTTCATCTGCTGAAGCTTCGTGGAAGCAAACCTTTCTAGAGCATTGTATTAGTTTTTAAACCCCTTGAACTTTCTGACATTTCTTCCTCCTGCAGCAACAAAATTCTATACATGATATTAATACTTTACATGAAGCAAAGCGGGAGAAATGTGAAACCAAAACAAATCAGATCAATGCAAAAAGCGGCATCCACTGAACTGACGGGATCTCAGAAAAGGCTAACAAGAGACTCTTCTCTTCTACATGCTTGAAAAGTGAATTCATTTCGGCACAGGTTGTGCCACTTTCTGCATGACATGCACAGGCATTTACACACACTCACAGGGCGGGTGCAGCAGGCCATAGGTCAGAGCGGCCTCATCTCTGTAGAGGAGACACAGCTGGTTGGAGGAAGACGGGACTCGAAAGTCGGCTCGAATGCACTCATATGGGCTCAGGGTTGGCACTCTGGACTGAGAGAGGGGATCAGTCAGCGGTGGACAGTGTGGACGGGACAACAGGACATGTCTCTTATGGAAGATCGCTTGGCTGGATTTAGAGATGAACAGATCAACGAGGAAATATCTCTCTTTCGGTTCTCTTTTCAACTTGAAAGTCTTATGAGAACGAAAATGATGTCTAAATCTTTAATTTGAACGTCTTAGTTATTGATAACATTTCATTATGAAACACATTATCGACAGGAAGTAAAAAAAATAAAAAACAGTGCTGTTGACTAATGAAATAAATGGCCCTTCAAGTTAGATTCTCTCAGAAGATGACTAAAATATAACTAATTCTTTTTCAAAGGTAAATATTAAAATATAAAGTGAATTTTATCCCGAAACACAAGTTTGTGTCTTTTGTAACTAACCGTTTAACTTTATTGTTGCCAGGATTCTTTTCTAAAATAAATCTTTGATCTAAAGGAGTTTTATCCTGGTTAATCAATGACTGAAGAAGAAGAAGAAGAAGAAGAAGAAGAAGAAGAAGAAGAAGAAGAAGAAGAAGAAGAAGAAGAAGAAGAAGAAGAAGAAGAAGAAGAAGAAGAAGATGAAGAAAAAGAAGAATGAATTTAACTAGCCTGAATGTGGATTGAAGTGAAACCTGTTAACTTCAGGTCATAAACATTAATTTAGACTCCTCCTCCTCCTCGCATCGTCTCAGTCTCAAACCTTTATTCACAGTACGAACCGTAGCAGACGATGATTGATAGGAGTTAGAAGTTCCTGCTGGCTCAGGCTGACAGTTTTAATTTAAACCTGGTGGACTCTTGGAAATCCTATTAAAATAGGAGTAGGGGGCTGATCCAGCCTGCCAAGTTACGCTGATTATTTCTGTGGAGTATTTTATTTCTCCAAGAAATTAAATTAGGCCAAGATTGATTTTGCTCTTGGAATCGTAGTCTTGACTATAGATGTAATCTATTTTATTGTCTTTTTTTTTTTTTAACTAACAATGAATGCAGATAATGTACTGTAGCAGGCTATATTTTGCTCATACTGTATTTGGAAAGCACATCCACTTGCTCAATCATTCAGACAGAGGAATCCAAAATCTCTTGGAAACAAACAGCTGCGCCTGAGGTTGTGAATTACAAGAAAGCTCCACCACAAAGGGAAGAAAGACAAGAGCTGTTTGAGCCAGCACGGATAGAGAGGATGAGCAGCAGCTGTTTACAGAAAGGATTCAGATGCCGTACAAACCTCCTCCAATCCGCTGCCAAACCAAAACCACAGAAGAAATACAGCCGAGGCAGCCCTGACTGATGGGGCTAAGTTTAGAGATGAAAGAGAGCTCACCAGAGGCTGGAGGGTGTACGACACCCACAGCGGCATGAGGCGGTCCCGGCTGTATCCACTCAGGTAGTCGGCGTGGTGCAGCAGACAAAAGCTGTTCCCCGCCTGGATGACGCTGGGGATGCCGAAAGGATGATGAAGGCGGCGCAACTTAGCTTTGGCCTCTAAGGAGGAAATTTAAAGTGTGAGGCAAAAATATTTCCCAGTGCTATTTTAAAAGGGGCAGTATTATGGGTTTTCCAGGAATATAGTTCGGTTTTATAGTGCAATAAAGTAACTATGTTAACTTCAGTTGTTGTAAAAGTACCACATCTATCACATATGACTTAAAGTATATTTCAACCCTAATTTCACGCCTCTGTCTCTTTAAAAGCTCCTGCTCGTTCCGAAACCCCGCCTTCAGGAAGTCATCACAACGTCGCTCCTGTATGAACCCTTTAAAAATGTTTTTACCATCTTTGCCCTGAGAAGCAGATCGTACAATGAGCTCAATTCAGGTGTTTGCTAATTGCTGGTGACTAGTCTGAAGAAACCACGTGGGGGAGTCATGGTGGAGGGGCGAGGAGGAGCTGCGCTCTTGGAGGTGGAGCTAGGTCCGCCCCGGCTTTTTGCAGAGCTGAATGGTTGCCACGGGAGATTAAACGATTTCTCAAACGTGCATGAAAGAATCAAAGCAACACTCCATGTATGTTTTCAATGAGGGAAGAACATTTGATGTAAAGTTAAAAACATAGATTCTTTGAAATAAAATATATATATATATGTATATAATTACCTGAGTTTGTTGATAAAATAATTCTGTTCATTTCTGTCTCCTGCAAAGAAAGCCACAGTTTGTTTCAGATTAAATTAGGCTTGTACATACATTTCAAGACAGCTGACGTATCAGGACCGGTAAAGAGGACAGATTTTTTGATCCGATGTGGCCAAAAAAAAAAAAAGTTTCATACCTTCTCAGTGCTCTGAGAGGAACAGAGGCAGTGCAGGTTGTCTGTGGGAACCAGGTTGGTGCTCTCACAGGGAGTTTCATGGGAGAGCTGCGCTGGGTGAACGGGTTGATAATGGGGACGCTTCAGGAGATGATTCAGGCTGCCATGGGTCCCATTGTTTGGGGATGGACGAATACCAAGAAGGTCTGATGTGGGAAAGGAAAAAAAAACAAACAAGAAAAACATTATTCAGGATTTATAACTCGTACAAATTGAGGTAAAGAATGTTTATCTGAGAGAAAAATAACCTGCAAAAGCATTTCTGCTCTTGTTTCTAATTTAATTCAGACACATTTTAGGGTTTCGAAGTATGCACAACCAGTTCAAAGTCATGCCACAACTCTAGAGTTGCACCAGCCCACATAAAACCTTTGTTTTGATTTTTTTGGAATTTATTTTTAAGCCGTTCGAAGGAGGACTTGGCTCTCATTTTTGCCCAATCTCGTCCTTATTGTTGAATCATGACCGTAAGGTAACAAAAGCCTGCAGCGCTTTAGCTGTTACATTGTTCTTTTAAGTTCATGCTGTGCTTGAGCTTTCTGATTTCTTTTGAAGGCTAGCCCCTCTTGGGAAGGTTTATTACCGTTTCATGTTTTCATGGTTGCCTCACTTAGATTCAGTGGGAGTTTCAGGACATTAGAAACCGCTTTGAACCCCCTTCCAGACTGAATGTTGATGAATTAGTTTCTCATCTATTGTTGAATTTATTGCGTGTTGCATGTTGAGATCTGTTGTCCACCTCGTCTAACCAGACAGATTCTGAAAAAGTGATGTCATTTGTGATTAATAACAGTTCACTATTAATAAATTGGGATTACAGACTCTGGTCAAGTCTTATTCACCATTTGAAAACTGCATTTTGCATGTAGTCAGGTTATCTTTGTCTGAGTTTGATGATCTAAAACATGCAAGTGGAAGTAAAAAAAAAGATAAAACTGGTATAATCTGTAAAGAAGGCAAACATTTTCTGGTTTGATCTGCCACATAAAAATCAAATACAATTTCTCAACATTTGTTCTAAACATTTGGAACTAGCTGGGTTGACACTGGTTGCTTCTCACATTTTTCTATTTTGCTCTTCAAATAATCTTATTAAATAACCACAATATTTCTACAATATCCACTTCTTCTGACATGGATATGTTAAAATCGAGGTTTGGTTTGTGGGATCTATTGACATATTTAGGAAGCAGAGCAGCTACTGAAAGCTGAAGAAATGCACCTGTTTCCTGTACTGACAGTTACGGGGATGCTGTCGCAACTGAGGCGAACAGCAGCGTTCCCAAACGCGGGAGGAAAATAAGAACAAACCAAACAACAATGTGAGCAGATAGTCAACATCTATATGTTGCAAACAGACTACCTCTGTTTTTGAGATTAAAGCTTCTGAAAAAAAAAAAGTAGCAAAACTGATTAAAAGCTGAACAGGAGAGAGACGTTCTTTTTTAAGGCCTGTCAGGTTAAAATTTGACAGAGCAGCGTTCTGTTTAGGATATTAGTCACTAACTGTAAACGTCCATTCAGCAGGCGTGACTGAACATTAACTCTGTCAAAAGACATGCTCAAAGTGAATAAGGTTATTTGTTAACAGCCAAGAACATGTTTAGCAAAGTCCTGAAATTGCAAATAGTTTCTATTAAAGGGGCGCTATTATGTATTTTCCAGGCACATAGTGCCACTTTATAGCGCAATTACGATACATTCAGTTTGTATAAACTTTGTAATGTATCGTCTTGAAACTGATCTCTGACTCTTTCTGACACTCCACATTCAGCATGTCATCAGAACAGTGCTTTTCAGGGTTTCCCCCAGTGTATTACAAGCCTGGCGAGCCACCAGGCTTTACTTGTGCCCCCTCCAGGCTTAACATTGCTTATTTATTTACGTTTTTTTTCTTTTTTTTTAAATGTTTGCATTTTTAAAGATTTTGTAGTTGGCGTTAGGGTATTAATCTTCCAATATTCCACTACTACATAATTATCAAGTGATATTTTCAAATTTCCTGTCAACTTTATATATTTTTTAACTCAAAAACACGGCGGGCCGCTGGATGAAAGACTGCCAGGCGCCCTAACCACCAGGCTTATCAAGTTTTCTGAGAACCTTGCTTCTCATTATGTTGTTTACAATTGTACGATAAATTCAGCAGATATGCAGTTCCACCAGTTGTTTGCTAATTGCTGCTATTGTTAGTAGCTGTTAGTAACATTGGCATAGTTTTGGTGTGATTGTTCTAAACAAACTGCTGAAGTTTGTGTAAAATTTGCATGACTATTATTTGTTTTATAATTTTGTTTGCGCTAAATTAGCTTTTGTTAGCTTCGTCTGTTTCCGCTGGTAATGTTCTTGACCAGAACTGTCTTGCAAAAGAGATTTTTATTTTCAGAATAAAATCTGATATTCTCCAATGGAGTTTGACTTGAGTCTGTCACATCAACTTTCATTACTAAAACGCGAGCTTCATTTTTTCTATTTTATCACAACAGTTCACCAAAACGTCAAGAAACTGAAATGATTTACAGCAAGAAGAGAAAAAACAATAACTCAAACAGCCACTTACCACACATGAGGTTATATAATTCAATGTTTTCAAATGTTGGCCCGACGTATTTAGTTTTAAATCCAGGACCGTATCCAATGAAGATTGCCTAGAAGAAAAAAAAGAAACATAAAGCATCTTCATTCGTTTCTTTTCACACATATGATGAAGTAAACTAAGCTAAGCTTTTAAGCAACAACGCCTACCAGTTTGTGTACTGGAAAACGTTATTCAGTCCCTCTGTTAACATCAAGACGTCAAACATCTGATTCACTTATTTAGTTCATTGGTAAATATTTAAAGAGAAGTCAAGCTCTGAATTGACCTAAACCCAAACAGTTTTCTATACTGAATTTCCACTTGGTGGGACAATAAAGGCTGTTTTTATTCTATTCTACACGAAAGGAGAGGAAGAAATAATTTTGGTTCTTACTAAATAAGTAACCAACTAAGTGCTCTAAGTCAAATTACAGCATGTGACAAATTAATCTAGACAATTAAAATAAACTGTGATGACTAAGATTAATTACAGTGGTATTAAGTTGAAATCTTTCTGCATTTAGGTTGAGAGAAACTTCTCAAACTATTGCGCAATTATTGCAATTTGCTTAATTCTTGGATAATCTCAGTTCTTCGCACTACTTAAGGGCTCTGTAGAGGTTTGCCCAAATATGTCCTCTCCTGTCTGTTGGTTTGTGGGTTTCTGCAAAAGAACCAGAGGTGGTTCAAGATCTCATTTTATTGTTTTCAAACAGTAACACAAAAATGAAAGAATGTTGAACTACTAAATATAACAATTACTTGTTTTTAAAGTCCCTCTACTTCTTCACAGAAGCTTTTTATTCCTTCAAGTCTCAAATACCCAGAGAGGTTAATATTCTGATTATAGAAAACCTTTTGTTTCCTCATATATCAACAGCTAAATATAAGAAGTTCCTGTTTTCTTAAGAATAAAAACGTCATGATGCAAAATGTCTTGACCCTGGCAAGCACACACATCCTTCCTTCCTCTGACCTGCATGTTGGTGAAGAGATTGTCTGAGCCATGGAAACCACCGGTGCAATACTTGACATCGTCTTTTTTACTGAGGAGAAAGCATTTGAACAGGAAAAGCAAAATTAGAGGAAATAGTAAAGTATATTAAACATCTTCCACTGCACAGTTTCTTGACTCTGTCAAGTCAGTAGCTTTATTTGTCCAGCTTGAAGCAATTTGCCACAATTACAGGGTTGGTGCAAATCAAAGGATTTGTGCTATTTCTTCCCAACATGCTTCATTCATCACACATGGTTCCTGTCATTAGTTACTGTAAAAGATTTATGACTGCAGTTTATCCATCATATGACGTGTCACATTTAGAAAAAAATTACAGGCTTTTCATTACAAAAACAAAAAAAGTGCTCTGATGTAAACCTTTTGGAATATTCTATAAGAAGAAAAAACTTTCTAAGCACAAGTTATAAGAAGTAATAGATAAAAGTTATCTGTTTTGTATCAGAAAAATGTACTTTCTGAACACAAAGTAAGCGTTGGCTATTTGAACTACCAGTTCAAGCATCACAATAACAAATTTTGCTGGACGATAAAGTGTAATAGAAGTTATTGCGATAAACGATAATGTTGTTTTCAGACCATTTCTAAGTAAAATAACGGTAAAGGCAAAACAATAATACAAGAACACATTCTCAAAGATCAATAAACTTTAAATTCTAATGAACAGTTAACACTGGAACTCGAAGACATATTAAATATCCAAAATAAATAAACAAAACAACAAATAAAATTATTTTTGAAACTTTGTAAACAAAATTTTCCTTAAAAAAGCGCTAGTTGAGACGAAAGCACTAAACTGAAGACTTTTATCATCCAGTTTTAGTAGAAAGAGAGAAAAAAGAGAAACGATAAATCATGCTGATGGAAATGATTGAGTTTGTTTTAATTCATCATCTGATTTATTGATTATTGTGACAGATGTGGGGACTGTAAATCCTTTTGACCTCATACCATCCAAAAAACGTATGTCATAAACTAATGTTAGAGAGATAACATAAACTACTACTTTATTTACCAGTTTCTATGTTTTCATCTTTCATTTATGAAGATGAAAATAACACAAAATATATATAACTGCAATAATCAAGATGTCAGTAGCATAAAGGGTTGTTGCTCAAAAGTTATTAGATCATTTTCTATAAAATGAAAATCATTATTTTGTGAGCGAGGAATGGTTTTTATTTTTTTCCTCCATCTTTCTGCTCCAGCGACATTTTCCTGGTTTTGCCGTGTTTTGTCACATATTTACAGAAATACTTATAATCGCAAATCGTGGTATTTATCATTTCTAAATCGTCCCAAAATCAAAATCCCCTCATAGCATAAAAAAATAAAAAATACCCAAACTAGACAAACTTTGTTGCTTAACTAAACCATATTATTAGACTGGAGCAGATATTAGCAACTAATGTCGTCCAGTTTATGCAAACTGCTGTGCGAAAGGAGATGATGATCTGATTACTTACAGCGCTGCCTGCCAGCCCTCCTTCATGTACAGGTGACCCCTCTCTATGCGCTTGTTGTATGCAAAGTGCATCCTTTTGGGGAGGTTTTCTTTGAGGTACGGCTTCATTGGCTGGTCAGGGGCCCTGCACTTCAGAATGCACACAGACGGAGAGGATCAACACACAGCAGAGAGACGACGGGACTGTTTGTCATGAAGCCACACAAGCACATGATTTTTCATTCTTCCTATCAACACAAAAAGTCACGCTTGGAATACTTGGCATACCGACAGGTTCTTTATCAGGCCCTCATAGTCGACTGCGGAAATGAACAGTAAGGGAAAGTCAGGCTCTCTGATTTCAAGCAGACTAAGACCAAAAGATTGTTAAATCTGAGCGGACAGGAACTCACAGGAGAAGTAGTCCTGTGGGAGGCGCTTCGGTCGGATGCGAGCTGCTGGGCCCTGGATGACCGTGAAGTTGGATGTGTCTTGCTGGTATGTCGACACATAAGCTGCCCTTTGACAGGAAGCCTCCTCCATTCCTATTGAAGTAACGACTTTGTATAAATGTCGGCCACCAAAATACTTTTCAGAGAGATAAATAATAATAGATTACAAGTGTATTATTGTTCCTTTAACTACTGGTATTGCAATGGTGCGATTCCAAGGTCTCCAATCTGCAGCTGTAAAGTCTTAATAACTTTGGCAAAAACGTAATAAAGAACCTGCATATAATTGCAGGTTTTAGCTGCAATTATATATATATATATATATATATATATATATATATATATGGATATATATCCATATATCCATATATATATATGGATATATATTTTTCAAAATATATCCATAAAATAATTAACATGTTTATCATTAGGTTGGTAACTAAGTATGTTTTTAGAAGCAAAATCAGCTTTATGGGCCAAGATTGTGTTCACAAGAAATATTATTCTGATATTAGGTATACATATATAAACTTTCACGAATACAAAAGTTTTTTTATATGTATAGAATTTTCCACAAATATCAACATTCCATAGGAAAAAAATCTGTTAATTGTATTGCAAAAATGTTACATCCTTCTTTATTTTAAAACGTGAAAATAGAAATTAAGGATGTTTTCTTATACAAACACAAAAAAGTACATTTGTACATTTGTTACAGGATGTTTTGTCAAATTGATAAAGAAACAA